AAAGTACCAGATGCAAAGTACCAGATGCAAAGTACCAGATGCAAAGTACTAGATGCAAAGTACTTGGTGAAAACTACTGGATTCAAAGTACCAGGTGCAAAGTACTGGATTAAAGGTACAGGATACAAACTACCGGATAAAAAGTACCAGATGCAAAGTACTTGTTGCAAAGTAGCCTAACAGATACAAAGTACCACTTACAAGGGACATAAATAATCGAATACAAAGTGCAGGATGCAAACAACCAGATGCAAAAAAACTAGACATGTACTTTATACTTTATACTACTGTATGTGTGTTTATGTACAGAATCAACCAGAGTGACTTAAAACAGAACTAATATTATTATCATTAATTTTTATTCTTAGACATCAACTCGTTCCTTTTTAGCATTTCTACAAATGATTTACTTTTTACATTTTAAGCTAAACAGCTGATGTGTGTTGATCACGTGATTCGAGCTTCCTGGAGGWTTTACCTGTGCTTTGTTTATATTGACTGCATACCTGCATTTGTAAAACTACTGTAGTAAACTCTGACAAACGGAACAGTCTGATAAGGTTTAGGATAAACATTTATGTTTGTTTCAGTTTTAACAAGATTTATTTTAAATTCTTCAAAGTGTGATTTTTCCCTCTAGTGGCCAAAAACTAACACTGCAGGTCTGAAATTAAAAAAATTCTATAAATTTTACATTAAAAAATACATTTAAAAATAAATAATACATTTTTGTTTCGTAATTATAAATATCTGCATTAAAACCTTACAAAGCTACTTTGATGCAGCAGAAATAAAACCATGAAATGGACCCCATTAGTCCTGCACTCTGAGAGGACCGGGACTGAGACCCGCAGAGACCCGGACCACACCGCTCCCTGATCCAGAATCAATACCAGAACCGGTAAGAAACGAGCCCATACTCACAAACAAGAAGCCGCCGCGGGAAACAACAAACACACAAAGAGCTGGAGATCAAAGGCGGCACGAGCAGACAAGCTGCAGCACGCGCACCTGATGAAGATGAAGATGATGAACGAGTGTCGGATGATGGACCTCCTCCTTCTTCTTCTTCTCTCTCCTCGGAGGCTGCTTCTTCTTCTGTCCTCCAACCCGTGGTCCTCCTCCTGCCTCTCTCTCCTCCCGCGGTGCATGATGGGAACACGAGGGCTTCATTACTGCAGCCTGCAGCTGATTGGCTGATGGGGTAATTAAAGAAAAAGACTAATTTTCTTCTAATTTGGTCCAAAAAAACCCGCATATAATCTGATTAGTCTTTAAAGTAATATAT